AGACAGTGTGCTTTTCACATTCATATAGATATGAATATGTGTGCGCGCATCAGTTGTCAGTGGATTACACTCTTTTTTTCTCATTCACAATGAATCATCTTATTTTATTTTTCGTCTTTCAACGAAACGATTATATTCAATAAAATTCAATATTTGAACCATATCATAAATTTTTGACTCTGTATTCATTGTGCTCATCATTAAACAAAGTTTTGATTTGAACAACATTATTTTCGATGTAATAATTTGCTGCAGTTTTCTATTATAAATGGTACAACCATTCGTTTGTTCATTCATTTTTGAGTAAAACTGCAGTTTTACAATACAATTGCAAAAATCGAGAAAAATGATGATGAAGACTACAAACATCCCATTCAATTGAGAGATATTGTATAGACTCGATGTATATGGGTTTTTACTTTATCAATATGAATATGTTTTCGATAAAAGGTGCGCGAAGTAAGACTCTCTCAATGGCGAATTCATTATTTCAATCTGGAAAATGCTCTTTGTTTTCCTTGGCTATTGCTATTAATTTTGTTTTACTTGTTTTTTCGCTCTCTGTCTCTCTCTCTGTATCTTAACATCAGTAACAATAACGCTGAAATATCCGAGAAATAAGACAGAGAGAAAGATGAACAAATCTTAAGGAACACAAGTATCGGTTCACAAAAGGAATCAAATCAAAAGGAACGAATTGGAGTTGTTGTTCACCAACTGCAAATCAAAATACGAAGACAAAAAAAAAGAGAGAAATAAGCGGAGAGAGAAAAAAAAACTAATTGTTCGAGCTATGCCTAATTATCCCATAGAATATATCGGCCATATTAATTTTTGGATTAAAAAAGAGAATAGAAAAAAAAATGAGAACTCTCAGCTCATGAAATCAATGTGGGCTTTGTATTTTAAATGAACTAATGCGAGATAGAGAGAGAGAGAGAGAGAGAGAGAGAGAGAGAGAGAAAGAGTGCTAGGTCCCATTGCTGACATTATGAATATGGTTATTATCATTGTTATTATTATTATTATAACATATTTATGTCATTATTTTATTACTTTTGTTTGGATTTAGTCGGCTTTATTGAGAATATCCGGTATATTTCGTAATTAATACTATTCATTCTGAATGTACGCTGTCTTTCTATCTCGCAGTGTGTCACACAGTTTCTTTGAATGAATTGTGTTATATTCTCTCCTACAGAGAGACGAAAAAATATATATATAATAATAATAATATTATAATCAGACTTTGGTACGCTCTTTTGCCAATTGTCACATCGTTTCGGTTGTTCGATATGTACATGGTGTATGGTGATGCTGGTGGTATGAACACTTCACTATATATATTCATATTACTTGAATGAACGTTCGCGTTTGCTTATGTATAAATTTCAATGCAACCCGCCTATTCCTCCCTCCATTGACCGACCAACCGACCACAGTCGCGCAGTCAATTGTGTTCACATTAGTTTGGATTTCATTTTGCATTCGACGAATTTAGTATTTAAACGGTTTATATATCTCTCTCATTATTAAATGGTGTGCATAGTTCTGACCGAAATGTTGTTGTTGCGTTTTCATTCGTGCTTTCGCGCATGAATCGACACACACGATTTGACTCTTCGACACAAACGAACACACACACCATACACACATCGGTCTTGCGTCTCGTAACATCGAAAATCAAATTATATTTTATTTAAAGATAATGTCCATCGTTTAATAGTTGCTATATTGTAGTATATATCTCATCTCATAATCAGAGAGTGTTTAACCATTATGGTTCATAACCGTTTCTATAGTACATTAGATATATTTGTACAAGTAGAAAATCACCACAAACAAAACATTCATTTAAATACGCAATAATCCATTTGTTGACGCGCGGTTAATTCTTTTCAATTAACTAGATTGTTTGTGTGACTCTTTACAAAACATCCAACATTCCATTTATTCAAGTCGAAAAATGTATGAGTGCGTGTCTGTATGTGCCCCCGTTCGTCTTTATTTTCTTGTTAATATTTCCATTCAAAAATTGGAATGCCAATGCGGTATGCTTTATGCAAGTGTACATTCGGCTTTTTTGTTTTGTATTTTAAGAAATAAACGTCCTCGTTCGCTCTCATTCATTCTCTCTTTTGCAATCTCTAATTAAATGTAAAATGATTCAAGAGCGCTTTGCTACTGATTTCAATATTGAATAAGCTACATGGATTGTCACACAGTAGCAAGACACCCAAACCACTATATCCGATTACCATTTTCGGTTTGTCGCTCATATCAAAATAAATCAATGTCTAATTCAATTATTTTAATTTAATTGTAATTTAAATTGACCCATAAGACGTTTGCAGCCATTGTAACATTTATGAATGTGCTCTCTGTCTCTCTCTCTCGTTCGCTCCCTCTACGCAGCATACAAATACTAAATTCACATTTATCCAAAATGATTTTAATGAACACAAAACGAACTGAGCGTGTGATATATAACGAGACTTTGGGCGCACTCTCTCTATCTCTCTTTGTCTCCTTTTCTCGATCGTTGTGTCGCCTCGATCGTGACAACGAACAATGAACCAATGGATATAATTTGAACGACAATCGACCAGAGCATACGTTGTCGATTATCAAAGTAGCAACAACAAATGCGACCAACTGAGAGTATATTACGCCGTGATTGAAACGAATTCAAACTGTGCTATATGGCGAATTTTGGTAAAATGATGCTGGAAAATTTCGAATAAAGGTGCCGCCGAGTACAATGAAAATTACTATCAGCATCAACCGAATTGGCGATTCAATAAAAGGAGATACGATGCATAGATGAAAGTGCATTGGGAATTGCATTTTCTCACAATTCCATTCCATTTTTAAATCGATAAAATATGAAATTCAGTCATACATTTTTTTTCGTGTGGTAAAAATGCTCCCAAATTATATCACACACGATGGTTGTATGCATAGAATTACAATTCGGAATCCAAGAGATTAGCGATCACCAAGCGGCATCGTTTATATCAATAGAGATAAATGCGCACGCTAAACGTTCATTATTATTAGCCAGTTGAAGCATGAAGTATATCCAACATTGCAAATTTAGAATATGGGATGACAACGACGACGACGACGATATAAAAATACTTGTAATGATACATGTAATAAATTAATATACAGCTCGTAACTGGAATTATTATCGGTCGCGAGCGACACAGTAACAACTGTGTGACAACCAATCCCGTCCAAGCAGCGCGAAAATGTACAGAAAAATCGAGATAGAAAGAGATCGAAACTGAGCTAAGAATCTCAATGATATGTTATCACAATGTGAGAGGAGATGATTCCAGTACTCTTCCCTCGTGCGCGCCCGTGTGTGTGTGTGAGAGAGTGTATGTGACTGTATTATTGTGAAATAATATCAAAAATGCTTATATTTAATGATGATTTGTTCATTATTTCGTATGTTGCCGTAGCCGGATTTTTGCTCGTGTGTTATTTATTTATTTGAAAATTGTGCACACATATTGTTGCAATTGAAATGAATATTGCCGTTGTGCAGCAGCGGACGAATCTAATTAAGCACAATAAATGTCATACAAAAGATTACTAAATTAGTTGAATATCGTCTGTGGATTTTTGTAGATTTTCATTGATATATTTATTGTAATAGTTTGTGCCATTCTGTCTGTGCCGTTTTCATCGTGTACGAAACATAATGTACACTGCATGGTATGCACACAATGGGTGGAGCCTTTTTGTATACATTCGCTCTATCGCTCTCGCTCTCATATATTACAAAATATGTGTGTATTGCAACGTAGTAGAGTGTATTTGGCAGCGACGGCAAGCAGCGAAAGAGTGGCGAAACAAACATAGCACATGGAACGATTAACCATTTATATCGAGCGAACGAATGAACGATTGAGTGTGTGCAACGAAACGAGACAAAACGTGCGCTGGAGTGTAAACCGGCGGAGCGGGTGAAACAGAGAAGCATACATTGACACAGAATGAATGGGATAGAATGACAATCAACAACAATAATAACAATAACAACAATTGAACTGAAAAGAAATAAGCATGGCTATGTGAATGTTTGTGTGCTGGTATTCTCTTGCTCTTTCGCTCCATTGCTCTGTCACCCATTCACTGTATTTATTGTAATCGACAATAGGTGCACATACACACGTTTTGTGCAAGCCAACACACACACATTTGAATGGTGTTAGTAAACATACAAACGAATGCGGTATGGGGTATCCTGTAGAAGAGAAGAAAAAATCACTACTCTCACTGTCCAAGGACTCGTGCATTGCATTTCAATCAGTGTACATACAAGAATCATTCGTTCGTTTCGGTTTTTTTTTTCTTCACTTCTCAATACGATCGTTTGCGCGCGCGACAATCTGCTTTTAAAACAATTACCCCCGTCTTCTATATAACGATAAATTGCAAAGAGAAAGCCAGAGATTTATTTAAAACAAAACGATTTCATTTGTTGTTGTGTTTTCATCATCATTTTTTTTCTCTACATACAATCGACAAAATCATTGAGCGAAACATTATAATCATCGACTCTGTGTGTGTTTGTGTGTGTGTGGAAATTCAGCGTGCGCTCGTTCGCCCAAGATTCTCTCTATTTATACATTGATGATAATAGGGACCGAGTAAATGATCAAGTACATGAGAATTTAATAAATTAAGTAACAACAGTTGAAATAGATACACATGCATGTCAATTATTATTTATTATTTGTTTCGTTGTGCGGCGCGTACAAACACAAACAAATAAACGTAGACACGTACGAACAAAAAAAATGCGTTGTAATTTATTAGGTGGAAATTGTTACTGGTTAACGAGATTTATTCAATTTAATGCTGAAATGATATATTTCGTGTTAGACCTGCATATATGTTTTGTTTTTGTTGTTTTTATCACAAATTATTTTCGATTTAACTGATTTTTATTTAATTATTTTTTCGTTTTTTTTTTTTCGTCATAGATTGTGGATCCGGCGAAGGAAATACCCGTCAAATGTTCTCAGGGGAGGGATCAATGACTGGTGCAACATCAACAAATATTTACAAATGCAATCATTGCGATTATCTCACCGAAAACAAATTCGATATTGTGCAGCATTTGAGTGCGATGCATCCGCAAAGCAACGATACCGATTTTCAAATAATTTCATCATCGAATGCCAATGCACGTTGGAGTTCGGATGAAATGAATTTGCTATCGGGTGCCGGAAGAACCAATATATCGACACCAACGCCAACCGAAAAAGAAGACGACATCAAATCGGAACGCATGGATGCCGAAAATTCAGAGGATGATTTTAATATGAGTGCAAATGATGGAACGGAAAATGTTGATGGTACAAATGAATTTACCGCAGTGTGTCCATTGTGCCAGGATTCATTTGGCGATAAAAAATCACTGGAAAATCATGTGATGAATATTCACCATGTGAATACGGATGGTTTGGCAAGACTGCTTAATTTATACGAAACTAGTCATTGGTTGAATAGTAATAATGGCAGCAGCAGTTCATCGATTACTGGAACGGCATCAATGATGCAAGCAGCAGCAGCAGCGGCAGCGGCCACCAATAAAATTGGCAAAAGTCCCGGCAGCAGTGCCAGCAGTTGTGCAGACAATTCCGATATTGAATGTGTTATGTGTGGCACATCATTGAAATCGATGTCCGAACTATTTATGCATGCCAATGAATCGCAACACTTCCAATTGACGGGCAGCAACAATGAATACATGTGCATATTGCGTGTGTGCCAACAACAGTTTGCATCAATTAACGGAATGTTAAGTCATTTCAAAGATTGTCACATGAATGCAGTGATCTCAGAGCGTCACGTTTATAAATTTCGATGTAAATTGTGTTCGTTGGCATTTAAAACACAAGAGAAACTCAACCAACACTTAAAGTATCATACGATGCGCGAGGCGACCAGATGTCATTTGTGTTCGCGTAACTTCCGAAGTTTGGCTTCATTGCAAAAGCATATGGAGCAATTCCATCAGGGTAATAATTCTGGTATCATATCGACCAGCAGCCCAATAACCTCGCCAAATCTTGATAAATCCAATGAGTACGACGATTATCCGATTGCCGGCAGTCCGGAAAATGAAATGATGGAAATTCAACGTAGTAACAGTGTTGCGGCCGATGATCAATCATCGATTTCCACTGAAATGATCAGCGAAACAACCGATCTGGATGAATATCTCAATTCACAGACAATGGCCGAAGAGGGATACAATGATCTAATGCGTAAATTTAAGTGTAACAAATGCAAAATGGGATTCACACATCAAACATACTTGCAACAACATTATAAATCAAATTTGCATCTACGTCGCAATGCCGAAAAAACGTCCAACTATTCATTTGAAAAATATAATGATCCGAAACGTCCGTTCAAATGCGAAACATGCCGCGAAAGTTTTACACAAAATAACATTTTACAAGTGCATTTTAACAGCGTTTCACATTTGCACAAGAAAAAGCAAATCGAAAGCATCACACCATCGACCAGTCCAACGATTGCCGCAACAAATGCATCATCGTCTGCCGAATTCGATCGGCGAAGTGTTGATTTCGATCGAAAATCGGTCGATTTCGATCGGAAATCATTTGAATTCAATGAAATTGAAGGTGAAGTGCAAAAGAGAAAATGCAGCCCGGACAATGACTATGACAGTCCAAAGAAAAAATTTAAATGTGACATTTGTAAAGTTGCATACGCACAGGGAAGCACATTGGATATTCATATGCGTAGTGTATTGCATCAAACGCGCGCTTGCAAGGAGCAACAACAGTTACAACAACAACTTCAACAGCGCCAACAATTTTCACCAAACAATTCACAATTCAGTGCAGTGAGTCCAACACCATCGAATATGAGTGGCACCGGAAATGTCGATTTAAATGAATCGGCCGTGAATGCACTGAAAGCATCCAATTCACCAAAATTCAATAATCAAATTTATAAAATGCTATTGGAAAACTACGGGTCCGATATGGTCAAACAATTTATTGAAATGAATAAGAATCCAAGCGGAGAGACCGCTCAACGCTTGGCCGCCAATCCGGCACTTGCAAATTTCCTACTGAACGAAGCCGCACTGAATGCCAATGCAAATTTGACACAATCGCTCAATGCCGGCTTGAATACACCAAGTAATGCTGAAAAGTACTTCTGTCGTCATTGTAAAAAGACATTTTCCAGTGTGTTTGTATTGAAATCGCATTGCGAAGAAGTGCACAATGAAAAGGTTCCCGTCGAATTTTTGGAAAAGTTTGCCGAAAAATTCAAAGATTTTTACATGGACAGTGGAAATGCATCGAACGATGGGCCGGACAGTGAAATTCTTGATTTCTCAAAAAAGAATGCAGCCGATTTAACGAAAGTGAAGGCAGAGACTAATTTATCGCAACCATTGGCCGCATCATCGCCAGCATTAGGAAAATTAGCCGAACAATCACAGCAAGCATTACAATTGGAGCATTTGTCGCAACAATTAAACATTGATCCAGCGACACTTGCACAAAAAATCATGGAACAAAATTTAGCGGCTGCTGCAAACTTCCCACAATTTGGCATACCTGGTGGTTTGCAAGGACTTCAAAGCCTTCAACATTTACAGAACTTGCCAGGATTACCAGGTAATTTAAAAGAAAAAAAAAGAAAATGAAAAAAGCTTAAATTAAAACTTTAATGTTTTTTTTTTTAATTTTTAATCGAATTAGGATTGGGAGGACTTCAAGGTTTGCAGAGCCTACAGAACTTACAAAATCTACCAAATTTGGCTGGGAATCCACAATTAAATACACTTGATATGTTGAATCTGATGCAATTTCAAAATTTGTTATCGTTGAACTTCATGAATTTGGCGCCACCACTGATATTCGGTGCGGCAGCCGCAGCACAACAGGCCAATACCAACAATGAAGCTGGTCTTAATATCGCACCAAATCTTGGCCGTTCAACCGCTAGCATGAGTTCTGTATCGAGTAATGCTTCTGATATCGCAGTAAATGCAAATCCATTAGCAGCTGCTCAAAAGGTTCAATTGTTACAACAACAAGCGGCAGCAGCACAACAGGTTTGTATTTTATTTTTCACAATTAAACACATTGTCTCTCTCTCTCGCTCGCTACCTTTATCACCTTTTCTGATTTAAACATTTTGATTGCATTTCATTTTGATTCGAATCAATTTTTTTATTAGCAGGCGACAAGTAATCAAAAACGTGCACGTACGCGAATCACTGACGAACAGTTGAAAATTTTACGCGCTCATTTTGACATTAACAATTCCCCTAGCGAAGAAAGCATTATGGAAATGTCGAAAAAAGCCAATCTACCGATGAAGGTAAGTGTTTCAGTAATCTTTTCTCTCTCCCCTCATTCCTTCCTTTTTTTCAAATTTTAAACACAAGCAAAATGCAAAGAAAAAGCAAGGCGAAAAAATTAACGACGCGAATAAATGTCTATCGACCCATTTCGTGCTTTATCGAAAGAAAAACAAAAAAAAAGCATCGGCGATAAAAGTAATAAATCGACCATTAAAATTAACGGCCCATAAATGACAGCTAATCACAAACTCAGATCGGGCGTTTACGTGTCTTGCGTTTTGTTTGTAAATGGATTGAAGTACAATGGTACTTTGATTTTCGATTTTTTTTCTTCTCTAATGAATTTCTCTCTTTTTTTTACTTTTTCTCCTGAATAGGTGGTTAAACACTGGTTCCGAAATACATTGTTTAAAGAGCGTCAACGCAATAAAGACTCTCCGTACAATTTCAATAATCCACCGTCAACAACGCTCAATTTGGAAGAATATGAACGGACGGGCCAAGCGAAAGTTACTTCTCTGGGCAATGAATTGAGCAATTCATTGCAACAGCAGCAAGCTGGCAAAGGATATCAACAAAATCACAATGCTCAATCCAATCAAAACGACAGCCGACCACACTCACAACCATCGAGCATCGCATCGACTGATCGATCGGACTATGCACAAGCTATAAAATCCGAGCCAAATGACCTTGATGGTAAGAATCATGATGCTTTTCTCTTTTTCATTTTATCTACATTGTAAACTTTACATTGGATATTCATTTGGAAATATTTTTCATTCATTTGTACATGTGTAACAGAGTCACCGTTTCACCATCATAACTTAGCGCTAGCAGCAGCTGCAGCTGTTGCGGCTCAACAACGTCATCTTCAACAACAACAACAACAACAACACAAACAATCGCAGCAAAAAAACTCCGTTGACCACCACCACCAAAATCTAATGGATCAGGATGGCAGTAATATGCACATGTATTTTGAAACAAAATCGGAAAGCGGCTCAGAAATTCTGTCGCGGCCACCAACACCAAACAGCACTTCCTATAGTATCAATGACATGATCAACCAGCAAATCGAAAGTATTCCAATTAATAATATTGCGAATATCAGTGGTGGTGGTGGTTCACAAAATGAGAGCAACAACAGAGGTAAGTTTCGATTCAGCAAAATAAATCGATCAAGTGACAAAAATTCAGAAATGACATGTTTACTCTCTCGCATTTCGATAGAAATGGGTCCTCCAAAGAAATTCCAACTCAACAAAATGTTTGAAAAGAACTTTGATGCCAATTCAAATTCATCAAATTCGTCAACGTCAAGCGGTAAACGAGCCAATCGCACTCGTTTCACTGACTATCAGATAAAAGTCTTGCAGGAATTTTTCGAAAATAATTCATATCCAAAAGACAGTGATTTAGAGTATTTAAGCAAATTGCTATTGCTATCGCCACGCGTTATTGTCGTTTGGTTCCAGGTATGTCATTCTGCATTGTTATTTTTGTGCCATGATAAAATCAACATTTTTTTTTCCATTCTAATCATTTAGAATGCACGTCAAAAACAGCGTAAAATATACGAAAATCAACCAAATCATTCGTACTGTGAAACGGAAGAGAAAAAATCCAATATAAATTACAATTGTAAAAAATGTAATTTGGTATTTCAACGATACTATGAATTGATACGTCATCAGAAGAATCATTGTTTCAAAGAGGAAAATAATAAGAAATCGGCTAAAGCCCAAATTGCTGCCGCTCAAATATCATTGGAGCAACAGCAACAAATGCAACAACAGGTAAATCCATTTAATATAAATAAACCAAAAACCATATCATATGATTCGAGTGCCTTCTTTTTGCCCTCTCAAACTCATGGATTTCAACAGAATATGAGCAGTGAAGATTCAAGCTCAAGTATGGATGTAAACAATAGCATTAGCGGCAGCAATGTACAACATCAATCCGAGCAACAGAATACACTTGGAGGTACGTTATTTGGTGGTGTTGGTGGTGGTTTTGGTAATTCACAGGTAAATATTCCATAAAACAAAGAACACGCGCTTATGAGTATTCGTGGGAAAATGTCTTTTTATTGGTGCGCACTATGCAAACTCGGTTGAAACGGTTAAAAAATGAAATAAAACCAAATCAATTTGGTGAAATAAAAAACGAATGACAAAAACATTTGCATATTGCGAACTTCTAAAAAATTATTCTCATTGATCTGCTATTACTATTCTATATGTGTGGCTTTTACTGTCATCTTCTTTACTATGATGGCAGCTAAGCCAATCTGTATTCTATTCACTGATGCACTCAATTTTTCCATCCTTCAAACAAAATTTCATAATTGCAGCAACACAATGACAACCCTAGTAATGCAACTAGTCCCAATTTAAGTTTGTACAAAAGCACTCTATCACCACAATCATCATCGGCACAACAGCAACAATCATTTCTTCAACAAGGCGGTGGCGCAACAACACCATCGTCGAATGCACGTCACGATCAGCACCAACTAATGAATTTAATCAATCCAAATTTGTTATTTAATCAGCAATTGCTCGGCCAGGGATTCGGTGACACAACACCATTTAGTTTACTTCAAAATATGGCGGCGGTTGGCGGTGGAAGTGCAACTAGTTTGCTCGATAATTCCGTCGATTTGTCACAGAAAAAGCGTAAACTATCCGAATCGAGTGATAATGAGCTGAACGATTTTAAAACATTGAATAAAAAATACAAAGGCGATCAATTTGAATTTTTATACAACTATTACATGCAAAACGAACAAAATGACGAGCTCAAGAAACAAGATAAAAATAGCATGGATTTTGACTATCTATTTCAATACTATCAAATGAATGAATTGAAGAAAAAAGGCGGCAACTTCGATTACCTCTATCAATACTATTTGCAAAATGAGAAAAATCAAAAGCAATTGGGCTCGCCAACATTACATTCTAAATCACCGGGATTGGATGCATTTGGTGGCGATAAACCAAGTTTTGACTATCTGTTGCAATACTATCAAGTAAATGAATCGAAAAAATTTCTACAAGATAGCGCCAGCCAATTACAAGAGCCGAAAGCAGACATCAATCAAACCACCGCCATTATGAAACAAATGTTGAGTTTAATTCAAAAACAACAACGTTCCGTTGCCGCACTTCAATCAAATCCACACTTTAAATCGCAAACAAATGAACAACAGCCACCGCAACAACAGCAACAACGTCCAACATCTGTATCGCTCGCATCGACTGCCTCAATGGAATCGCTGAACGAACAAAATTCAGACGTATTCAATGCAAACACTTCAGGACTATCGAGCGGACGAAGTCCCGATCGTAATGCAAGCGGTACAGCAGCCACAACAGAAAAACAAAGTAACAAACGCTTGCGAACAACCATTTTACCCGAACAATTGAATTTCCTTTACGAATGCTATCAGAATGAATCGAATCCAAGCCGAAAAATGTTGGAAGAAATTTCCAAAAAAGTCAATTTAAAAAAACGAGTAGTTCAGGTAAAATTTCCCATACTGTTTACTTAACAAACTAACTAATGCACCACACTTATCGTAAGCATAAGAATGTGTAAATAGTATTTTACAACAAAAAAAAAATATTTTTATATCGAATGTTTCGTAATGAATGTTTCTGTTTTTCATTTTGATACCGAAAAAAAATTAGGTTTGGTTCCAAAACGCCCGTGCCAAAGATAAAAAGAGCCGAAACAGCCGATGTTACACAGACGATGATAGTTTGCATCAATCATCGTCGGTTGCGTCACCCGATCTTCAATTGGATGACTGTAAAATTTGCGGCATTCAAAAAATTAATTTACAAGAGCATGTTTATTCGCGTGAGCATTTGGCCCAAGTGAAAACACTACTTGAAAATGGTGGCATTAATTGTTTAACCGATCAGATGTCGGCCACATTTGATAAATCGCCATCGGTAACACCAACACCACAGCAACAGGTACAAATACAGAATGCAAGATAAAACACACACTCACAACATACACAAAAATGCCCAAATGTTACAATGAAATGTAATTTATGTTTTTATATGCATTAAATAGATGAATTCGCATTCATCCATCGTACCCGATTGTTAACCACAACTTCCTCCTCCGTTTCTCTCGTTCTCTTCAGCTTCAGCAAACAAATCCATCATTTATAACCGGTCTCTACAATCAATACATTCTACAGCAAAATAATTCGCAACAACAATTGAACAGTGCAACAGCGGTGACGGCGGCTGCCAATACCGCTGCACCAAATGGTGCTGCTTCGTTTACAGATGAAGGTGGCGAACATCAAAAATTGGACGAAATTCATTCAAATCAACCATCTACATCGCCAATGGAAAACAATTTAATGCTACAAATCAACACCGATAAACAATCAACAACATCAGCAACAACGAACAATGAAATTCTACAACAACTTTATAATTATAGCCAAATGAGCGGTGAGTTAATCAAATAGAATCGTCGTCAAATCAATAAATTAAAATGGGCAAAAAATGTTGAGAAACAAATGAACACAGAGACATCACAGAGTCGATCTCGTGCGTACAACACAACCATCATGCCGAAAGATGAACTATATTATATTTCTTGGTATTATAATTAAGAATTACACATTCTCAAACAAAACGGTTTTTAGAAATTAGGGAAGACAAAAACAAATTGCTCAAATTTAATTTAAAAAAAAAAAATGAAATAATAATTAAAAAATAACAAAAGATGTCATTTTCAATTATATATTTTTTAGTTATTATTTTCATTTTGTCAACTATTAGTTTTTTTTTTGTATTATTAGTATTATTATTGATAACATTTGTTATTGTCAACTACTTGGGATGTTTTTTTGTGAGGAAAGAAAAGAATTTTTGTTTGACTGAAGAGACTGCAGAATGCATTCTTTTTATCTTATTATTATTATCGTTTTACTTTTTCGTGCTGAACAATCAAAATTCATGCATAAAATGAACAGCTCAGAAGAGTATCCCAAGCAAATTTATAAATTTATATATATATATTTATGTTTCGTAAGAAAAAAACTATTCGTGTATAATGTAAATTCATGGCTCGAAGAATTAAGTATTCATTGAACAATGAAAAATTCATATATATTAATGAAATGTGAAAGAAAAATGATTTAAATACCATATATACACACATATAAATATATAAAATCAAGACGATTTGACAGACAAAAATGTAACAGCAATTCTCTTCCTCTCAATTGGCTAAATATTATAAATGGATTTGGAATTGAAGAATTTAAAATGAAACAAAGATTATTTTGTTGTTGGTTTAAATAATAAAAACAAAAAAAAAGAAGACAATGACGCTCTATCGATGATGATGCTTTGCTGAACTAATCAAATAAAAATATGTACATAATTGTGTTGCTAATAAAATCATCAAATAAAAATTAAATCAACTGCCGTTAAATCAATAGAAATCGATTAGCTGAATGAACAGAACAAAAAAATGTATACATACATTTTGCTTCAAAAAAAAAAAAAAATGTGAAGCCAAAACAATTTTAGCAATGAAAATAGAAACAATGAAATAAAAGTAAAAAGAAAACACTATTTAACATCACATTCCAAATATCGAATAGACTAGCATAGAAACACACAGAAATTAGTATAATTTAAAAGGAAAAAAAAAAGAACATCATACTATCGAAATTTAAAATACATTTTTGACATGCAAACAATTTTAATCGATTCGTTGATGATAGACATTTTTAGCAATAAGGGATTTTATGCGAATTTGAATTTGATGAGGCAAATTATACAGAGAATAACTACATGCGCCAGTAAGTTAAACACAAATTTGACCATGCATTTTGCATACAGAGAGAATACTCAGTTCTGTTCACCACAAAAAACAACAAAAATAGATGCCTTTTTCGTCTATTGGAAATGAACTGATGACACACACACATACATGAAAAATTCAAAACCACATTCCAATGAGAAATATACACAAGGTATATGAACGTAGACTGCACTTGTTCCCAAAATGATAATTTTTAATTCGATTAGATGTAAATGATATTTGCCAAAAAAAGAACACATTCAAATTGCACAATTGATTGCACATTTTACCAGACTTGATGAGAGGTGAAAACACGAAAATAATTTTATTTTTTCGTTCTAACAACCAGCATTTGCTCCCGATCATTTCGATTATGCGCAAAATTCGAATCGGAGCACAGATCGAATTTTTACTGTAAAATCCACGAAATGTTGTGCACATTCGTTTCGATTTAAATTTACACACTATTGCGATAATTGTCGCGTCAGCAATTTTCGTGTAATTGAAAAAATTGAATAACAAAATGATTTGAGCACCTTAAATACACCATTTCCAAAATATGATATGATTGATATGAAAGCAAATGAAACATAAAAGAAAAAAACGAAGACGTAATCGCCTGAATTGGAGCACAATTGACACATTCCTAATCAAATGGATTCACACCGAATTCCATTACAACTATTTGTTGTGAACGCTGAAACTGGAAGCAGAGAAAGAGAAAAAAAAAATGAATTGAACAGTCGTCGGATGCGCGCACGTTCATCACCTACACATTGTATTTAACTTGAACATGAAAAACAAAAAGCATTGAAATTATATATCAGAGAAGAAAAAAAAAATACAAAACAGTAACCAACTTGTGAATTTACGAGTAAAAACAATGTTTTGAATGAATAATATTAAAGAATAATGAAAAAAAACATACACACAAAAATTTTATTATATAGAAATGATAAGTAAAATTATTTAGAAATTATAGTATTGTGTACTGAGAAGATTTGCACTAATGAAGAAATTAACGAACAAAATGTAAACATTTAGAAATGACGATTTGAAATAGAAAGAGAATAGAAATAAAATGTCAGACGTCATTGAAAAAAAAAAAATAACATGCATTTCCCATGTTCTGTCTCACGCTGGAACTGACGAGACATAAAGCAATATATACGAAAAAAAAAACATACAACACACACACAACATGAAAGTAACATTTAAAAAACACAAAAAATACGTCAAATTTAGTACATACTCAAATTGAATTGATGAAAAAGAAATACAAGAGAAAAACAAATTATGTACGATATTGGTATTGTTCCTAATAAAATATTATATCTAATTAAATTAAATAATTAAAGAAAAAGATAGTAGGATATACATGAAATAATTAAACAAACAAAAAAAAAATGATGAAAAAAACACGGGCAAAAAGAGACAAACTTGGTATACACAACTCACTGAAATTGGTGGTGGAGAGACGACGGGAGGAAAGGGATATATGCGTGGACAATGGAATTTGTGTATTTTCCTTACATTTCCGTTTTCAATGACAAAAAAAAATCAATTCGATTCGCGAAATGTTCTCATTGAGGAATTCTTTATTTTATTTTATTTTCTCAATTGACATTTGATACATTGATCACGCAATATATATTTAAAAGAAAATGGAAAACTAAACAAGAAGTGCAAGCATTAAATGATATTTAAACAAAACAAAAAATGAAACGACAATTTCACTGCGATGAATTTCGGTTGCTATGTAATGATTTTTAATAGTTTTTACAAAAGTTATTCGATAAGAATGTGTTTTTAATCCGTTTATCGTCCGACTGACCAACCAACAGGATCAAATGTTTGCCTTTCTATTGGATTGGTTTAGTGTGATTGTCTCGATTATCGCCTATTAAATGAGAAACTGAGAAAGAAAGAAATGCGAAACGAAAATAAGAGAGCAAGAATATAAAATGAAAAGACCGACACACTGAATATTCCACGGAGAACTGCTATTAAGTTGATTTAAATTTTACGAAGATAAAAAAAAACAGTAGCCAATAGCGTCAATATAGTTATGTTTTATCATTATCACTATCATTTATCATTATTATTTCTTCTTTTTTGAATAGATTCATACGATTAGCTATGTTATTGACCGTAAATACATAAATTGAAAATGAACAAAAATTAACAAAAACAAAAAAAACGCAAACCGCACACATAGGCACAACATGTATACAAAGATATGCGCGCTATAAACAACATTTGCCAAATTGCATCTTGATAGAAATAAAAAAAAACTTGATTTATTTTTGTCGAAAAATTTAAACGTGTTCAATAGAAAACATCCGATTGTTTATTTTTCAATCGAAAACTTGGCCTGTAAATAGAGTTCACCATTGCTCGGCTCCAACTGCCAAATATATACTGAAAGAACGTTTTCAAAACGTTTCTAGAAAAAAAAAAATGAATATGTATTGATTTTACCGAATTACGTTATTTTTGTGTGTCACATTCAATCGACACAAATATGTAGAATTAAACGCGGATACATTGATCGAGATACGAGGCAATTTACTGGCAAATATACAAATTATATGGCGCGCATATTTTCATATTTTAAATGAAACAATTCATTCTTGTAGTTGTCTCAGTATTATTTCAAAGTGAAGCTATAAAATTCTTGAAATTAAAAGTATACAAAAAAACACGCAAAAATTGCGGCTGAAAACCATGCGGGAGTATCTCTTTCATTTTTTTTCGTCAGCCTCATTCCAATGCAAAATGTTACAAAGTGCATTCGATTAGAAAACCCAACATTGTTTTGATATGTCATTGGAATGGGGATGAAGAAAAAATAAAATAAAGAAAAGCACCGTATCAACAACAAATGTTGTTTGGTCGAAGCCACCGTTGTCTCTATTTGTAAACAAAATAAATAATTACAGAAGCAAAACTTTGACAAAATATATTTTTCTGTTTGTTTTATTTTTTATTTTATTATTGTTTTCCCCTTTTTTTCTCGATTCGTTGATTTGTTTTTGGTTTGCTGTTCTGTTTCTTTTCTTTTTTCAACATACTTTTCATTTGTCGGCGTTGATGTTTTGTTACTTGGTTCCAGTTTTTATTTTACTCTCGCTAACTATTGGTTTGTAAACTAAATTTTTGTTGTTTTGTTTCTATTCATTTTATTTTTTGATTTATTTGATTACACAAAAAAAAATGGTTAACTAATGAAAAAAAAAGGTGGATGGTCGCGATTAAGGAAAAGAATTATTATTATTTTTATTAAAAAATAAATCGAAAAATACAATTGGCGGTATGCACCTTAAAGACGCCATCGAAGCGAATGAACCTCGCACGCGCTCTTAATCCATGGCCATTTGTTTTGCTCCTTTTTTTCTATTTAATATCACCTCTCGCCTCTCTTTTTTTCTTCTTCGCTAACATTTGAATTGCGCTGCAAATGCTTATAATAAGTGCATTTTAAATGTCTGCTGCGACAGTGCACTGTCGCGACTATATAGTTCCTGTAAACATTTTAAGAGATGAAACAAAATAAGCGATTTAAAAAAAAATAGTTGATAAATGTAATTATTAAAAAATGATGAACTATGAATGTCGGCAATGGGGCATAGAGATTCTCATTGTTTATCATTTAACAATTTTGAACGTTTTTCGATGTCGTTCGTTTCGGTTGCAATCCCTTCATCAACTCCCCACCCCGTACACTCTCTTCAGTTGTTTGACCACGGGCGTTTTTTTTTTCCTTTTCGTGTTGATTTTAGTGAATTTTTGCATGCGTGTGCAATTGATGGAATAAAAATAACCAATGCAATGACACGTTTTACTTCCGATCGAGAACAACAAAAAAAAAAAAAT